TGTCCCATGTCCTTTGTGCATACATGAAAGATTATACATTATGAAGTTTCTGAAAAATAAAAATTTACTAAATCAAAGAAATGAAATAACAATTTTTGTAGTCACTATCAAATATTTTCCTTAAGTAATAATTAATTTTATGAAAAAAATAATAAGAGAGATGAAACATATTTTTTTATATTTGATTGATCTGCTGAGCCGACCAAACATAGAAATGAATACAATATGGAAACCAGCGATAAGGAGTGCTAGAGAAACGCAATAATAACAATATTGCAATATGAGCTCTGATAAAAAAATTAATGCGATGTTAATTTTAAAAGTCCCCAATTTCATACAATGATGTTCTCGATTTGCCGTTAAACGATCTGGACAATTTTGTACACTATATATACTTGAGTATAATGCGATTTTTGTACGAAAAAATATGTGTCGCACTATACAGAGGTAATATTTCTGATGAGGTTAAAAATCATATATTTTCAGTGACCGATTGCATTATACACGGATAATTTCTTTCTGGGGGGTTTAAAATTCATACCACCAAAATTCAGAGGTCGCACTATACCTAAAATCGGCTTATATACGATTATATATGTCAAGCTTAATCGAGTAATGCAGTTTCTTTTTCAAATGTCATTTAACATTGCTATGTGTCCATATTTATTGTTCCAGTCGATATATTTCGTAAAATCCGTGATACTCAGCAACTTTTGTGAAATAAACACCTCTGTGTGCGACAGTGCAGTGAAAAACAGTATCAGAAGTTTCCATCGAACAATAACATTGTTCACTGTTTCCGGCGTTGCTTCAATCAGGTTTGACTGCAGACATTTGCCAAATGTTTACTGTTTTAAGAGTGTAAGCCGCCACCCGCCTGGAGTGTTTGCGAGACAGGCGAGTCGACAAGCCAAGAGATCAACAATGCTGAGCGCATCTATTATTACTCACAACAAAGAGAAAGAAGTTTAAAAGAAAAGGTCGTATACTGATTGTCATAAATACGCATTCATTAAACATAGTCTGGCACACGGCCATGGGGTTGATTATCGTACATGCTCTTCCTGAGAAGTCACAGATTTAAGTACATTCACGCTGTAAGAGTTAATGTGTATTTTATAATGATATGTGGGAAAGATAACGGTTGACCTGAGACGTGAACAGGTTAAGATTCTAGTGGTTGGAAAGCATCCTCTCGGGAGTTGATTCTACAAGGTAGCGGTTCGTAGGAGGCAGCTGTTCTAGTGCGACGTATTTCTCAGTAATGCAATCCGAAGAGAATAAAGGTGGTTCGCTATTGTATACTGTGACGGCTAAAACTGGTGGAACTAAGAAATGTAGCTCGATTGAACATTTTTGATGCAAAGAGCGATCAAGTAGCGGTAGCGAGAAGCTTCCAACGTTTCGGTTGTACAGTAGGAAAGAATTCATCACCCACAAGGCCACATAGACTCTATCCAGCCCAGATGTGAAACCAGTGCTCCATTTTTAGCCTGATCTGGCTTTTGCAAAGATAGTTGAGAGCGGAAAGAGTCAAGTACTTACCGATATTTTTTCCAGCATCTTTAACTCTAGATCGTATATATGAATTCCACTTGAAGTCTGGGGTGGGGTTAAGCCCCAACAGGCGTTCAAGGCAAGAGAACTCTTTTAGAGAGCACTCTTCCATTGCAATAGGCGAAAGATTCAGGCTCAGCTCGGTGATGATGGAACCTTACTGGTTTGGTTTTTCAGGCATTGAATATGACCAACCAGTTTTCCGTCCGCTGAGCCGTTAGAGCTAAATCAGAGAAAAGATCAGCTGGCATGTTCTGGTCATATAGAATTTTGGAGGCACAGTTCTGGCTGTAAAACAAATCAAACTTGTAGTAGTTGCTATTTACAAAGCTTACAATGTTAATTCTAAGAAAATTGAACGACTTAAGATAAGTAAACTTTATATAACTTGGTGTAAACAAACAATACAGGTTTGAAACAAACATAGATAATGAAGAATATAGTTACATGTAAAATGACACATTCTGTTTAGTTTTTGAAGATTATTCGATAAAGCGTAGTACCTGTTCGTTAGGCTTCTAGCGTTTAACGGGGGGATTTAAATCGCTCGACAAGATAACCATTTTAATCATTCTTTGAAGGACGTATGATTGAAACCTAACTTTATCACTATTTACATAATTCGGACTGTCGTCCTCATCTTTGTTGTCATATTCACAACGTTTTGATCGCTATACGCTCCGGCCTTTTTATGGTGATATACAATGAAAATCAATATCTGTCTATATTTTTGTGATGGAGTATTATAATTATTTACACAATTTACATTGTTCGGACTATTGTCCTCATCTTTATCATATTCAAGACATTTCTCCAAGAGCACATGACCCAGTGGATAAAAGTGGTGTTTGAAGTGATCCAGTGACTTGACCCAAAGACTTGTGAGTTCAATACCTGGCCACAGCAGAGGTGAACAAAAACTTAGAGAGTTGAGTTACTAAAGGGAAATAAATGAAAAAGATATCCAGAAAAAGGCATGTCATGTGCAACTAGAACAATCTATTCCCGTAGAACAAATAAAGTATTCGGTTCGAAATTCCAATCATCTGACGAATGTCGGAGCGTTCAACGGTCGAAACGTCATGAATAGGACAACAACGATGAGGACAACAGTCTCAACAATGTAAGTAGTGTAAATAGTTACAGCTTCCTCATTCGCTGTTTATTCATCTCAGCCTTCTCCAACGGCAACTCCTTGATTCAACTCAGCGTTCGGCTCATATGCAACTCATCCAACTTTTACCGCCCCATCAAAGCTCATTACATATTCATCAATTACTTATTTTCTCCTACCCCGGAGACATGACATTGACCCCAAGCAAAGTGATCTGGTATTTCAAAACAATAAAATTTGTCTCCATATTCTTCCTACCCAATTATTTTTTCGTTAATAAATTTTTGTTAAAAAATTTATTTACAATCGACAATTTCTTTGTTTATCTATTTCCAAAATTCGACATTGTTTACATTGTTGGCTTTACCGGAATTAACTTCCCAGCCGACAATGACATTCAAATACCAATCAGTCAACTTTTCAAAACCAAATTATTTATTTTAAATCGACAAAGAATTTTTCTACTGTTTTACAATAAGGCCTTTTTTCGAACAATTCTTAATTGCGTTTCTGTTTTTTTCTTTCGCTTCATATTTCAATTCCTGTTTTTCAGCTTAACGTTTTCCTTGTTTAATGTTCTCAACCCTTCCAATGTTCCAATTCTATACGAGGTTTTCATATGAATCCTTTTAATCCTATTTCCATACTACCAGTGTCATGCTAGTGTCACATTCCTTTCAACTAATACTTTGGCTACCTTATGATCAAACATAAACCACAGTGCAGGCCTGAGATCCAAGCGATCTTCATCGAACAGCTGCGGGGTTGGAAGTCTTGGACGACCGGGAAGTGTGTTGCACGATTACAACCTATCTAGTTTTCAATCCAGATATGTGAAGAGAACTGCCTGCAGCTGCGCAATAACCCTAACATGATGAATGCAACAATTCGTGTTATGCATTATGATGACCATATAAAGTACAGTGTATGTGTGCGTGTGTGTTTGTGCGTGTGTGTGTCCAAGCAACGCCTTCGCTCCCACCGGTCCGATTTCAATGATTTATAGCTGATTCAAAAGCCCCAGGAAAGTTAGGTGCAGGGAACGATTTTTGTTGAGCTCAGATTCAGGGTTACCAGATTCTGCGTGGTTAAAAATATATATTAATATATTATACTAGCCATTATCGTTGCTTTCATGGTTCAAGGGGAGTAACTCTTATTTTTCTTTTGTATTCAAAATTTCAGTGCACGTTTTATAAACTCGCTTAAAAAACCGCAATATCGAACGGCATCTCAGCTAACCCCTGTGGAGGACTCTTGGTTTGGCCATCATCACAATAGCCAGGGAGGAGTAGATTCTGTAATGAGTTGGTCGGTCAACTTGACACCCCCAAAGCGATAGGCATCAATAAACTACAAAAGAACTCAAAATCGATCGCTGCATTTAAGTATTGAATTAATGTTTAAGCTTACCTTTTAAAAGTTCAACGATAATTCTTCTGCTGCCACTTAAATTAAAGACGATTTGACGTACGCAGATCCTTACTTTCCGTTACAAACATTTATTATTATTTCATGAGTGACAGAACAGGGGACAATTTATAAGATAAAATAGTGTAAAGATCAGAAAATAGAAATTAGAATTAGTTCTGCATTTAACATTTGAAGAGTTAGAGTAACATAATAGCTAATGAAGTAAAACGTATATTATGGAATCTATATGAATAAATGCAAAATTGTATCACAATTATCCAACGATTCCTGGCGTTAAAACGCTCAATATTTGTATTATATATTATCTTCTTATAGGTGGTATCAATGTTCAGGTTTAACTGATTTGCATATTGATTTTAAAAAGTATATTTGATTAATTAACTGTCCTTCATTAGTGTTCTTTCATTCAATGATTGTCTGTATAGGAGTATTGTCTTATATAGTGCATAAAACGTGTTTTAAATGTGTTTTAAAAGTGTTTTAAAAGTGTTTTAAATGTGCATTTTACTTAGCCTTCATCTATTTGTAAAACTTTTCTTAAATATAACAAGCCAATTTATGAATGAAATGTTCATTTAAAATTTTTGTTTGAAATAATTCAAGTAGTGAATATATCTTATTTGGCGACGCGATAGTGAGTGGCCGAAGGCAGCGAGAAATGAATAAAACGCATGAAAAATAATTAAAATGACGAGTACAGAACACACACCGACACACACACGAACACGCACACACACACACACATACACACACACACATATATATATATATTCATAGTAGAAAGTCGCAGGTGATTAAAAGAAAAACAAAATACCTTGAAGAAAGAATATAATGTGTATTATATTAAAATGTTAAAGTCGGTTGGCTAATGCTAACCTCCAGGAGAATGGCTCACTGCGAGGAATAAGTAGAAAAGAGCGAGGAATAAGTGAAAACGAGCGAATAAGTAGAAACAAGTCAACAATAAGTGGGAAGGAGCGAGCAATAAGTGGGAAGGAGCGAGCAATAAGTGGGAAGGAGCGAGCAATAAGTGGGAACAATCGAGCAATAAGTGGGAAGGAGCGAGCAATAAGTGGGAAGGAGCGAGCAATAAGTGGGAACGATCGAGCAATAAGTGGGAAGGAGCGAGGCAATAAAATGGGAAGGAGGGAGCAATAAGTTTTGAACAATCGAGCAATAAGTGGGAAGGAGGAGCAATAAGTGGGAAGGAGCGAGCAATAAGTGGGAAGGAGTGAGCAATAAGTGGGAACGATCGAGCAATAAGTGGGAAGGAGCAAGCAATAAGTGCGTACGATCGAGCAATAAGTGGAAAGGAACGAGCAATAAGTAGAGAAGCCAACAATAAGTGGGAGTGTCAGCAATAAGTAGAAAGGAGCGAGAAGTAACTGAAAACAAGCGAGCAATAAGTGGAAACGATCGAGCAATAATTTTAAATAAAAATACCAACCAGACGACATGAATATATATGAAATTAAATATAGGGTTCAGTTTGGAATTCGGAATTTTAGGTTACCCGTATCGATATGCATGAATGATGATGAATGGAGTTCGGAAACGTTGTGATAAAAACAACAAAGATGAGGATAATAGCACAAATATGAACAATATAAATAATGATATCGCACCATCCAAGTAATTGATATACTAATTAGAAATGTTAAGATTTTAACTGAATGAAAAAAAAAATAAAAAGATTTTACATTTGTGACCATATAAGATTTCTAGTTTATCATGAGATAAATATTATGATGATCATCGGATTCATTGAAAATACAGTCACAATATATCATATTTATAGTTTCATTCACGGGATAACGTTTTTGTCGGACATGAAGAGGAAAGATTCTGTTGAATTCATAGCCTGGTCTGCTGCCAGGAAATTCGATTCACTGTGTCGTGTTAGACAATTTTTATCACCAGAATCTATCTTACACATTTAGAAATCTACTATTCGTTCATTCTTTGAATATTGCTGCCACATCTGGTCTGGTGCTTCTGCTATGTATTTAGAGATACTTAATAAAATCCAAAGAAGAATCTATCTTCCATATTTATAAGTCTACCATTCATCCTTGCTTTGAATATTGCTGCCATATCTGGTCTGGTGCTTATGCTATAAATTTAGAGATTCTTGATAAAATCTAGAATTGTAGCTCAGTCCCCTTATTTTAAAGTTGAAATGGCTAAGTTAAACCGTAAGTTCTATGATAACAGTTACTTCGCTTGTTGAACTCTCTTCCGGCCTCTTGCTTTCCAGTCAAAAATTTAAATGCAATCTCAATCGTTATGTTCTGTTTTCTTAATTCCTTGTCTTTTATTGTTCTCCATCCTTAATAATGTTTTTTCGTTTTCTCATAATCTTTTGCACTTAGTAACCTCTTGCATCTTAGTGGCTTTATTGCCTTGCTTGAGGGTGAAATGATTAAACAAAATACAAAAATGCGACAATCAGAGGCTGTAAAGTTTATAGCTTATCTTGACAGATATATTCAGATGAATGTAAAAGTTTAAAAAGATCAACATAGGAGGTAGTGAAGAGCCATGGACAACTATAAATTTGTATTGATCCTTATTACGAAAAACATCACACGAAAATTGTAAGAAAAATATCAAAGAAACTTCAAAGTGACAACCATTGAATATAATATTAATAGTTTAGATGATTCTTTTTCTAAGTGTCGTTTTCCGTCAGGACGAGGGCGGCAATGGCCCTCTTCATAACTTCCTATATCTTTACCAAACTTCCAGACCTATGTTCTGCCATCCATTTACACAAGCTCGTCAGATTGATGGTCTGCTGCCTTCCCTTGTCTTTGTAACGCTCTATATGTCCTGAGAGTGTCAAATTCTCCAAGCCCTCCTTCCTCATTATAACCCAAGAAATTTCATCTGCCTCTTTCTAACTCTGAGTATAAGTGTCCTATTTGCTTCCATTTTCCGTAAGACTCTACTTCGTCTAGGAATTCTTAGCACCATTCTCTAGAAGCAATTTTTTCTTCCGGTTTTCTCTTCATCTGTGTGGAGATTGTCCAGCACTGACTGCCTTATCTGAGGATTGATATTATATAAGCATTCAGAACTGTTTTCTTTGTTTCCATGGAATTTGGTCTGCTTCTTTCGCTTACCCAGTGCGTATTCGAATTTCGGTGTCGCGTTTTCGCTGTCGCCCGTTTAAACACTTCCCAGATATTTAAACATTTGAATTTTTCTTTTGCTGGCAAAGTCGATAATATTTGAATGAAAAATATGAAAAAAAAATCTTTGAAGTTATGACCGCAGAATATAATGTTTACTATAACAGAAAGTTGCAGATATTAAGTGAATGCAAATCGTAAAACACTTTTGAATAGACTATTTATATTTTATCTTGATAGAACGATGCAGACGATAAGTAAAATAAAAACATTTGTGAAGTGACAACCACAGAATATAATGTTTATAGCTTATCATGTCAGAAAGTTTCAGATATTAACTGAATGAAAAACATAATTTTTTTGAACAAACATCAACTGTAGAGAATCGTTTATCCAGACAGAAAGTTTCTGATGTGTATTGAATGAAAAACATTAAAATCGGTGAATTGACGACCGTTGGATATTAGGCTTATCTTGACAGAATAAAAAAAATCTTTGAAGAAGAGACCATGGAATATAATGTTTATACTTTATATAGGTTTCATATTTCTACTGAATGACTGACATTAGATATCTTTGAAGAGACGAACATAGAATATGTTTGTAGTTTAAGATATCAGTGATTAGACTGGAATTAGAATAGATTAACGTATAAACATCTTTGAATCGATGATTTAAGATGATAAAGTTTGTAGTTTATCTCGAGAGAAAGTTTCAGAATTGAACTGAATAAATAAATAAAATCTTCCAAAGGACGACCATAGTTTAAATAACTAAAAATGCCCGTGTTAATGTCACGGTATGGCTATTTTAACTTTCTGATAAATCATAATTCTTCAGTTAATGATTGAGTAAGATTTTTGCATGTTATACGGTTATCAAATACCCATCAAAATTCTCCCAGAGCTATGATAAATATTTGAGCTTAACATGAATGAAGTATTGCAATAGAAATCATAAATATGAACACAGATCAATATCTGAAAAAGTAAGAGTGTACAAAATATTTAAATTGACAAGTTTTCCATTTCACTGAAGCGGAGACTAAACATAGGAAAGCGTTATTACCTACTCTATATTTTCTTTCTTTTTCTAACTAAATCCAAAGAGCATCTCTGATATGTCTTTTCTGTCTTTTTTCACGATCAAAATGGAATAGTCCATTTATGAGGTAATGGCAGGGCGTGACGGTTGTGCTAAGTAGGGAACTAAAGAACAAGCAGAATTATATGATCTTTATGGTTTAACATTAGAGGATTTTCGAATGTTTATACTTTATCATGCCAGAAGGTTTCAGAATTTAACAGAAAAAAATTGAAAAAAAGATAATTCAAAGAAAGACGGAAGTATAAAATACACAGAATGTTACAAATTTTAAAAGAATGAAAAATAAAAGACATTAGTATATATTATTTGACGTTTACCATTACAAAAATTTCCAGATTTTAGCAGTTTGAAAAACAAGAGAAAACTTTGAAGTGAAAATAACAACATATATTGTTTAGGATTTATCATCATAGAATATTTCTGACCTAAGCTGAATGAATGAAAATAGCAACAAAAGTCTTTGACGGAGTGACAACTGAATATATTGTTCGTACTGGAGCACAGTAATAATGGCACAGGTAAAAATGGCACAAGTAAAAATGGCACGAGTGGGAATATAGAAAAATAGAACAAAGAATATAGAATATAGAATATAGAACAAAGCGAAAACATACGCGAAAAATGAAATGCACACGTTGTCTAGTAAATTCTGAAAAAAAATATAAATATCGAACCAGTAACTCTCTAATCAGATCCCAGTTGATAGCTAGTTCAGTTGTCATCAATGGCTCTATCAGAACATCGTCATGGAATGCAGTTATTTAAGACAATATGTTCTGATGAGGCAGCTCTCTTGTTAGAGGACTTCGATCAAGCTTACGTTTCTGGTACGTATGTTCGACGAAGGAGACGCAACTTTCTGCCCGACATTCCAGCAGTAAAGCCTCGGCGTATCCCAGCAAGATTTCTACCAGAAATTTGGAATCTATATCAAGCTACCATACATGACTGTTCCAGAACCAACAACTTATGTGAAGGATGGAACATTACCTTTTACCATCTTGTTGGTTATCAGCACCCCATTTATCTGGAAACTGATAAGGAAAATGACCCAGAAGAAAGAGACTGTTGTGAGTGATGACAAGGGACTTCGTTGGTAAACCATCAAGAAAGAAAACAAAGAAAATATATGTGGATCTACAACAATAACTGAAACATTTATGCAGTGACGACATGGAAGGGGGGAGATTTAGATCAGGTGTTAAGTGGTCATAACATAATATTTTAGTTTAATTTTTTTGCTTTTAAATATAGATATAATTTTCTTTTTAATTTACTAAATAGATAACGTATGAATTTCATTTTTTTTCCTGTACATTTTTACCTGTACCGTTTTACCGTGCCATTTTTACCTGTGCCATTTTTACCTGTGCTATGATTAACTAAATTTGTTTGTACTTTATCATTACGATATCAGAAGTTTATTGCACATGTTATCAGAATTAAAAACATTAAAATTGTTTAAGGTAATGTTAAAAAAAGGAATGTTTAAAGGTTATTGTGATAGGTTTCAGATTTGAACTGGGTGAAAGACACACAGATATTTGAATACTTAACGCGATGACGTTGTTATATAGTGTTTGTTGTTGGCAATGACAATAAATGATCAGATTTTCACTATATGAGAAACATGAGAATTTTATTTTAATTAAATGCCACAAAATGTAATCTTTATATATTTGAAGATTTTAACTAAATAAATATATTTCAAACGGGAGCAAATTGGCATAATTTATAATTATTTATGCGAGGATTTAGTAGATTTTAACTAATTGAAAAACTGAAAATACGTATTAATTGATAACTAAGGCCAGACGTTTGTGGTCATCGCGTTGGTTTGTGAATTTAGTGACAGTAATTCTGAGTTGAATCCCTGGGCTGGGTAGTCTGCACTTGAACAAAGTGGGGACGAGCGAGCAATAAGCGGGAAGGGGCGAGCAATAAGTGGAAACTAGTGATCAATAGGTAGAAACGAACGAGAAATATGTGGGAATGAGCGAGCAATAAGTGGAAACGAGCGAGCAATAAGTAGAAACGAGCGAGCAATAAGTGGGAATGAGCCACTAATAAGTGGACACGAGCGAGCGATAGGTGGGAAGGAGCCACCAATAAGTGGAAACGAGCGAGCAATAAGTAGAAACGAGCGAGCAATAAGTGGAAACGAGCGAGCAATATATGGGAACGAGCGAGCAATATGTGGGAACGAGCGACCAAAAAATGGGAACGAGCGAGTAATATGTGAGAATGAGCGACCAATGTGGAAACAAGCGAGCAATAAGTTGAAACAAGCGAGCAATGTGTAAACGAGCGAGTAATAAGTGGAAACGAGCGAGTAACAAGTGGAAACGAGCGAGCAATATGTGGGAACGAGCGACCAAAAAATGGAAACGAGCGAGCAATATGTGAGAAGGAGAGATCAATAAGTGGAAACAAGCGAGCAATAAGTGGAAACAAGCGAGTAATAAGTGGGAACGAGCGAGCAATAAGTGGAAACGAGCGAGTAATAAGTGGGAATGAGCGACCGATAAGTGGAAAAAAGCTAGCAATAAGTGGGAACGAGTACCGCAAAAATGGTAGCTAATCATGAAAAACTAAGGTCATTTTCGGAATCACCACCAGAAAATTAGCTGAAAAACGTGCTTTGTTACTTGGCATCAAAAATCTCGTGGACCAGTGACATAAGTGTTCTTTTTGTTACAACTTGCAGTAAGCCTTCCTTGTTGGTTACCAGCTCCATCCAAGGAATTCTCAGTATCCTTCTGTAGAACTACATTTATATTGCCCCTAGTTTTTTATTTATAAGTGTTGACTTTTATTTCTAATGAAATTATTCATCATTGGATACCAGAAAAACTGTACAGTCTTTTTTCTGTTTGTCTATTTTAGCGATGTCTATCAAAATACCAGAGGTATGAAACGATTTAAATGTCTATCATTGACCTTGATCCAAGAGAAATTGATCTCTGGAAACTTCAATATGAAAGTTCTACCCTAAAGAAATGTTGTACTCGGTATGAACTTAAAAATTCAAAAGACCGAAGAGACCCAAGTGTTGACCTAGAAGGTGTCTACAACGCCACAGAGTGCAGAATCGGGCTTCGAATGATGTCACTCTGAGCGCCAACATAACCAAGGAAGGGATTCAGCTGAATTTAAGGTCTGCACATATAAAAAATGGATGGACCTCAAACAATTGGCCTATAATGTTCATTGGTTGTAAATTAAAAGGTATTCTTTGTTTATCAACTAGTTAAAATCTACAAGTTTTTTTTTCACGATGAACTATAAATTAGATATCATCGAGAAATGAAAGTTATCTTGAACGTTCACTCGCCTGGAGCCTTTACCAGGTTTCCCTCAGGACTCCATCCTTTGTCCTTGTTTTTTGTTTTTAATTTTATTTAATGACCTTCCTGATACCATCGGTTCTCAATTTAGTACCTACGCTGATGGCACAATCATTTGCTCCTTCCTAGATAGTAAGGCTAATCAGTCTAACAAGGACAAAATGGCGGCCGATGCCCGAAACGACCTCGTCTGTTATTAACTGGGGCAAAAGATGGCTTGTTAAGTTTAACGCCCCCAAAACTAAAGATTTTTCCATAAATCATTTGAGTGACTCCTCTCTGTCTTCCATCAGTATGGCTAATGCTAACCTTCTAGAAAGTCATTCGTGGCGCCTTCTCAGGCTAACGTTCTCAGATGGCAGTCAGTTATGCGTGATACACGCTTAGGCGATCATAAATCTTTAGATACATGACTGACGTGGCAGATATTTCCCCGCAGTGGGTTTATATTTCTTTCCGCGGTAGACCAGTTGCCGTCCAAGTTCATATAACTGTTCTGAAGAAGATCCATACCTTTCCAAAGGTATGGTTGTATTAGCACGCAAGTGATTGTAATGGATTCGACAGGAATTCGAACTCGGCTCTCCGATTCCTCAGTCCAAGCCGCTATCCATTACTCCACCGTGACATCGAATGGAAAGACTATATTGAATTCATTGCTATGTCAGAATGTTAGTTCACTGAGACAATTTCGGGCGAGGGTCCGGTGACACTGCAATTTACCTGAGGTACCTTGATAACATCCAAAGAAGAATCGGCAATATTATTGGTCCTAACCTGGCAGTTCATCTTCAGTCAATCTCCCACCGTCGTAAGGTTGCCTCTCTGTCTCTTTTCTAAGAAATACTTTGATGGTAATTGTTTCGATGAGATTCTCACTATGGTACCGTGACTTTCTGCATTTGAGCGCATTTGGAGTCGAGATCTCATCAATTTACATTTGAGATTATCAAATGTAGCCGTAAATTATATGCTAACGATTACTTTTCTCGCACTTCTTACTTGTGGGACTCTCTTCCGACTCCCTGCTTTCCAGACAACATTAATCTACAATGTCAGTCCTTAATTACTGTTCTCCTGATTACTCCTTTCTCTTCCCGCTCATTATTAATGATTTTGTTCCACAGCCAATAACCCCTTGTGTCTTAGTGGCTTTACTGCCTTGGATGGGGTGTAACTAATTTTAAGCAAAATAGCTACCGGGATAGGAGAAAGAGAATCACTCACATGCTCGCGGGCTGAATGTTCGAAACCCTCGATTCGGCTGACATTCATTTGACAAAGCGCAAATGTGAATAAAATTTGTTTTTCGTATGAAAAATTTCTAATGTCAGGAAGATGACTTCTCTTAGGACTAGAAAGATCGATAAGAGATGATCTGAGAAGCCAATATTCCTGTTTGAAGAGGAAGAGTTTATAAATTCCAACCGGCTGTCATGCTAATCGTTTGGGCAATGAATACTGAATATTTCCTTATAAGGAAACGGCTGATGTCATCATTACTGTTTGCATTTACAGTTTATAGACTTCCGCACTGGGAAAAGTGTGAATCTATCTGTACACCACAAGTTAAATAGTAGGGGTCAGTTCCAATCACTGTAAGAATGACGGTCAAATTTATAAGACAAAACACGTAGATGCATGTTGGGATTATTTCCTAGCCAATATGATAGGCTATTTCTTGGTCTCATCAGACTTAAGTTTGTTGCGTCTTGTCATGACTTCAGGACACTCCGATCGCTTGTCTGTATCACCTTGTCTGTTAACACCATTCTTAGTTTTGTGAATTTTTGACATTATTAATGTTGCTTTGACTTACATACATATTGTTTATGTGTGAATAAAAATGCTGGAGATCGCTTCGGCGGACAGAAGGCTTAAGTCGAAACTGTGTTGGCTTTGTTACTACAGACCCCACTTACCAAGTTGGGACATTGTCAATTCTGTTTGTTGAGCATTTCTGACATTTAACCCTGAATAATTACTGTACAGTAGGACTGGTATCGCGGAAAGACATTGCTGTTGTTAACGCAATATTTACTCGCAAGAAGAAAATAATTATTCGTACAAAAAATTTTTCAGCTTTTCATAAATCTTAAATGGTTGAAAAACCGTAAAAAACAAACAATAAAAAATATTGCTCATAGAATCAAATTAAAATATACCAAATAATTTAATCCAAATCGCAGAAAACTATTAAAAAGTTTTCTTTACTGCGTAAAAGTTTTGAAATATTTAGCGTTCATTCTTATGAAACTCTTTAAATAAAATATGCCTTAAAAGGCGTGGTTTCCAGCCAGCGAAGCTGTAAACTGATTTGAGTTTCTTCCTTTTGTATGTAATCAGTTTGCCATCTGCCTTTCAGAATAAAACTCTGTGGAGTCAAGCAGTAGAAAGCAAAATTCAAACATTTATTTTAGAAATACTGAACGATAATACGAAACAAAAACAAAAAAAATATGGTTATTACAATCAGAATATTTACCAATCTAATTTCCATAAAAACACAGAAATTCTATCAAGAGGAAATGTTGAGCAAAAAAATGCATTTCATTATTTCATTATTATTATTTTTTTAATATTCAAAGAATCTTTAGATAAACGTTATTTATTCAATAAGAAATTTATTTTTGTCACTGGATTTTGTAAAAAAAGATTATTAAATATTTTATCATTTTGGGGGAAAAGGTTTTCCTGTTTCGTGAATCAACGGAAAAGTTTCTTATGTTTTGCGGAAAACTTAATTTTCCAAAATAAACATCGCAGATTTTATGATGAATACGAGCAGTTCCAGATGAATCACAAATTAAAAGTGGTTTATTTTTAAATTTCTCTACTTTTTAATAGTTTCCTTTTATTTTTTAAAAATTTTACTCAGTAAAATCAAATAATCAAAAATTAACAATGACATGATGTCATGTTTTCCCGAACAAATCAGCAAGATTGCCAAAAAGATATGACACCATAGTCTGTAGATTTTGCAAGAATTTGAATTAGTTATCCCTATTACTACATGTCCACACACACACACACATATATATATATATATATATATATATATATATATATATATATATATATAAAATAAATAAATAAATAAAAAATAAAAGAGAGTGATAGAAATGAGGACGATTTGAGATAATTATAATTAAGTAATTCATCGGATCTAGAGAAACCTCAACAGAATGTAAAAAGCACTGGACTGCCGTTTCGTCCCATATTTGGGACTCATCAGCAGTATGCATCCACTATCGAGAATTGAAACCCGAACAGCTACGATAGGAAGCAAACGCCATACAGACTGTACCAACGGGTCAAGGTAACGATGAGGTAGCAAATCAGACTCGATATAGATATTCCGTGGTGGAACTCATCCGAGTTACTCTTTTACCCATAGAACTGTGCCTCCACAAGCCACGGCTACTATCCCTAAGCCGCTCAGTCCAGAGTATTAGAAGCCGGTTCAAGCAAGGATATACAAGTGACAGAAATTAGGAGGATTGAGATAATCTTCTAGACTCGATGAATTATATATATATATATATATATATATATATATATATATACTTATATACACACACACACGCACACACACACACACACACACACACATATATATATATATATATATATATATATATATGTACCCAAGTATAGGATTGGTATATACGGAATAAATTCCAATAACCAAAAATACTCTTCTTAAAGTAGTGCTCAATACAAAGTAGAGCAAATATAATTTATTCGAAAATATAACATAAATATGTTATAAAATCACTATAAAAATAGCCATTTTGTTTCAATACTTGGTTATATATATATATATATATATATATATATATATATATATATATATATATATATAATAAAAACTATGTATATATACAGTTTTTCTATTGTTTATTTTCGGTTATACATATTGTCTTATTGTCGGTCACTGTAACCGTCTCTTCTACTCAAACATCTTCTTCTCTCGTACTTCCAGTCTGTGGAACTCCCTTCCTCTTACTTGCTTCCCCGATGACTGTATTCTTCAAATATTCAAGTGTAATGTCAATCGCCATCTGAGACCCTAAGCTTGTCCCCCGTCATTCGCTGTATCTTTTCTCAAACACGCTTCTTTACTCTTGCTCTCAATCCTCTTTAACCCCTTGCGTGCTAGTGGCACTCCCGTCTTGCTTGGAGTGAATTGTCTTAAAATAGAAAAAAAAATCCAGGAAATCCAAGAGAATGCGACAAGGCTCGCTATTCTCTAAAAATGAGTTCTAGGAATGCTTCCATAAATAAAAACGACGCTGGATAAAGTGTGCGGCTTCAGAAGTGGATTACATGCCGAATTGCTATCCGTTGTAGTTTTCTTTTTATGGTACTAGTCACGATACTTTTTTTTATCAGATTACGTATATAGCGGTCCAGCAGTATATTCTTTGTTTCAAAGAACATATTTCCTTATTTTCTGACAGGCATCTTTCGCTATTCATATGCGTCTTGTGATTTGAGCATTTGCTATCAATTACAACAATACCTAGAGAGTTAGGGCCACATCACTTTGACAAGTTCTCGTCCTATTACCGAAGTTAAGCGACGTTGAGTCTGGTCAGTACCTATATGGGTGACTGCTTCGAAATACCAGGTGCCTTAAGCATTGATATAGAGTTGGTGTAATGGATAAAGGCTCGGCATTGGAAATCGAAGAGTCGAGTTCGAATTCCGGCCATGTTCGTTATATTCACTTAAGCGGAAAAACAATTTGAAATACACTTCATTTTCCTTAGGAAAAATATGAATCCACTTCTTCTCCCCCCAGCTATGGGTTAATTAGTAGGACTTGTACCTGTGAATTATTATCTTTTTCACAAAATGC